GTTTCCCAGAGGACTGGAAAATGGCTAATGTAACAGCCCTATTTGAGAAATAAGAGAGGCAGAAGACAGGAAATTATAAAGCAGTTTGCCTGGCCTCAGTTGTTGGTAAGATTTTAGAGTCTGTTATTAAGGATAAGATTGCGGGGTACTCAGAAGTGCATGATAAAATAGGCCTGAGTCAGCATGACTTCGTCAGGGGGAGGTCATGTCTGACAAATCTGCTAGAATTCTTTGAGGACGTAATGAGCAAGTTAGACAAAGGAGAACCAGTAGACGTGATCTATTTAGATTTCCAGAAGGCCTTTGTAAAGGTGCCACACAGGATGCTGCTAAATAAGATAAGAGCCCATGGTGTTGGGGGCAAGGTACTGGCATGATTGAATGACAGAGCAGTCTCAATGGGCTGAATGGTCCACCTCCGTTCCTATATCTTATGGTCATGGAGAAGGGGGCGTGAAGCTATGTGGACAGCCTGTCAGAAGGGGTACATCGAGAGGCATAGGGGGGATGTTGAACAGATAATCTCTTGACCAAAGGCAGTCAGCGCTTGATTGAGGGTCCGGAGGGCAGGGAGTTGTCCAGTGAGAGATCCCTCTTCTTGTCCTGGTTTTCAACCCTCTTGTCAACCCCCATGACCCCCAATTAGAATTCATCCCACCCACTCTCCCCCAACACACAGTCTCTCTCTCACACACACACACACACACACACACACACAGACACACATACGTGCGCACACTCATTCACATGCACACACTCACTCACCCCCACACAAACACACAAGCAGACAGACAGATACACACGCACACTCTCACACACATACTCACACACACACACACACACACACTCACACACACACACACACTCTGTCTCACACACACACAAACACACACACACACACTCTCTCTCTCACACGCACACACACACACTCTCTCTCACACGCATACACACACACAGACACAGACAGATAGACACACAGATACACACACAGACAGACAGACAGACACATACACACACACTCTCTCTGTCACTCACACACACACACACACACACACTCTCTCTCACTCACCCACACACACACACACTCTCTCTCTCACACACACACACACACACACACACTCTCTGTCTCACTCACACACACACACACACACTCTCACTCACACACACACAATCTCTCACTCACACACACACACACACACCCACTCTCTCTCACTCACACACACACACACACACACACTCTCTCTGTCTCTCACTCACACACACACACACTCTCTCTCACTCACACACACACACACACACACACACTCTCCCTCACTCACTCACACACACACACGCACGCACGCACACACACACGCACGCACACACAAATATGACACCTATTGATCCTGAGTGCCCCTCCAACAGCTGTCTTGGCCTCCACCTTGTTACTGCCAGTCTCTGACTGTTTCGCAACTCTCAGTGGGTGGGACATCTGACCCCACCGGGGTCCTTATTCCAGATGAAGGCCCACTGGTGCCTCCCTGCAGTATGATTGGCATTTGATCTTGTGAGTTTTGCCTGAAGGTGTCAGTGCCCATCTCTCAGCAGCTCCTCTGCCAGTTGGCAAGAAGCCATCGCCCACGCCCCCCCCAACAGCAGCATTGAGCAAGGCTTGAGATTTAAGCCTAGCTCAATTAACAATATGAAAAAAATATATCTCTGGCTTTCATATTAAAAATCCTGGTTGCGAAATAACTCTCAAACCTGTGCATGTTGAGTCTGTGTTACTAAAGCTGTGTCGGCTGTTGCATATTGTTACATAACCATGTCTTTTCTGTGGATATTAAAGATCCAGGTCTTCATTTTGTTGAAGGACACACGAGTTATTTCTCAATTATAAAACATGAACAAACAGATAATCTGGTTGTTGCTGAATTGCTGTTTATGGGAGCTTGCTGTGCCAAAATCGCCAGTGCATTCCCTGTATTACAATTGCGACTACACTTCAACCATGCTTCCTTCGTTCGCAATGAAGCACTTTCAGATGGTGCTACACAAATGCAAACCTTTCTTTCCTGGGAAAGCTGAGGAGTGACAGGTAACCCTGCAAGTTGTTAAGAGTTGTCTGATGTTCCCCTTTTTCAAATGGTCACCTTTCCTTTCGGGGATTAAGAAGAGTCTCTTTTGGCACACTCTCAGCGTGTGAGTTAGTTATTTTCCCGATTCCATTCTTGGAAATGCTTTGGAGAGTTGGGGGTTAGCAGTGCGCAGGCTGCCGAGGTAGATTGCTTGGCAAATATAAAGCTGTAGCCGACTTTCCAAACCTAGTTAACTCCTGTTGAGAGTTAATAGGAATTGTCTCTCTGACCTAACAATAATATTCACAGGCAGGTCAAAGGCTACCCACACTTTCCAAGATTCAGTCAGCACCTGTCCCTAGTTCTGCTGCATCCCTTTGAGGTGGTTTCACTCCCTTTGTTTTAAGATTGTCAAATTGGCAATGTAGCAATATCACAAAATCTCCTATTCTCTTACAGTGAGAAATTATGTTGGGTTGTGAATGTCAGTGATGTGGTGGTCTGTTTAATCAATACATCAGAAGAATTGCAGTTTTTAAACATGCCAATCACAAAATCCGTCAATGAGAGATTCTACAAAGTCTGGTTTGATTACTGAAAGAATTTGACTGAAAGTTACTACTGCAGTAACATGCTCTACAGTTTTCCTTTGCTTTCTCGGAATATGAGAACAGCACTCTATAAAGTTAAATAAGTCATTCCTGCAATACAGCAATTTATTGGCAATAACATTCCGAGAAGGGACAGAATAAGAAAAACAAGGGATGTTTCCATACTAAGCTAACTGCCATTTTTTTTACTGGAATCAAGTTTTTATTTGCCTATGGGTGATGGTAATCAGGCTATTGCAGAGGTAGACAGATAGACAGACTGTGGAGTGTCCCAAATGAACCAGCAGAGTTTTGAGGATTGGTGCAGTTGCCTTGTTCTGCTTTTGACCAGCTCTTACTGGCCAGTGGGTCTAGAGACTGATTTGGGACGGGGCTGTCGGCTCTTGGGTTTGATAGTGCTGAGTCAGTTAATCGTGGAGTGGCAGTAGGAATGCTGCAGCTGACCACGGGAGACCTTGGTTAGAGCGTGGAGAAAATCAGGTGGGATTCCCATTCCTGGTCACTGTCCAGTTACCTCTGTTTGTAAAGGACATTGCAAACTGACCTTCAAGCTTTGTTTGGCTGCGCTGCGTTAGAAAACAAAATATTTTAATAAATGAATATATAAGGGAGTTTTTGATTGAAGGCCTGACCTAAAGCAATTACTAATGCCAATAGGCATGTTAAACTTCAACATTTGAAAGACAGAAGAAGAAAAACAGAATGACTGAGCAGTGTTGTTCCATTCCTGGTAGGAGATATGGTGGCACTGTGGTAATATCACAGGGCTGGTAATCCCAGTTGTGGGTCATAAGTTCAAATCCAAATGCGGGTGGAATTAAAGTTCATTTAATGAATATGACTGTATAACAATTGTCATTGAAAACCTGTCTGATTCACTAACAGCCTTTAGGGAAGTAAATCTGCCATCCTTTCCTGGTCTGGTCTATTGCAAATCCACAGCAATATGGTTGATGCTTAACTGCCCTTGATAGGAAAATAAGAGACCGGTTACAAATACTGGCCTTGCCAAAACCACTCCAATCCTGTGAAAGAATAAATTTTTAAAAAAAGCATCAATCTTTGAACCTCTGAACTGCTGTCGTAGTGGTCTAATCTAGAATGATTGTCTGAACAGTTGTTGGAATCAGATTCGACAGTAATTTTACAAAAGGGGATATGTGTGAAATAGAAAGATTCCAGGATAATGGGCGAGGGGATTAATTGGGTAGGTCTTTCAAAGAACCAGCACAGCCATTGCAGGGCCAAACGGCCTGGTTTTGTTCCTCATGAGTCCACCACAGTTTCATCGTGCCATAGACAGTGTACAACCAGTGGTGCCTGAAAATTCCTTGAGCTTGCCACAGCCACAGAAGTTCTGCCCATTAGTGACTGGCAGTGATGGTTGGAATTCAGTGTTGAGGGCACGTCCAGGCAACCAGTACTGTTAGATCCAGATATTTCAGCTCAGCTTTGTTTTTTTTCCCTGCCCGGGACTCCCTTTGGGAAAATACCAGTTTTGGGGGCCCAACCTCCCCAAGTCACACAGGCACTCCTCCTAGTGCCCGTAGATGAGGCACATTTCTGATCAGGGAATTTGGGTCTGGCAGACCAAATGGAGAAGTGCCTACAGCGCCCTTCAGAATATGCCATCAGACTGTCTGAGGGTCAGTTCCTCAGAGGTCACAGGTAACGGTATTTTTGGAAGTGAAAACCAAAATTGGTTTTTGGTCTAACCCTGTCTTAAGCCTCAACAACTAAATACATCTGTTCAGTCACTGTTGAGCTCTAACAGCCTTGAGATGATCCTGAAGATGTTCTGCGCACAGCGCCTCATCGCTTCTCACTCACCCATCCCACCAACATTGGCCGTGCCATGGTCACTTATTTGAGTAGGCCCAATGCTCACAATCTTTGAGAGATTTCACTCGTAGTCCTGAAGATAAACGTATATAGCGTAAAATGACCTTAAGGAAGGACACCTGTAATGTATTGGCTGAAACCAATCAAAGAGAATTTGCAGTAATTAAATATAGAGAGACCTGAAGAATATAAGGGATGTGTTGTCACTGTGGCAGCTTTTGAATAACTTCATAATTTCACTGAATGGTTCAAAATGGTTCCATTTCCTTGGATCATAGACACGAGAAATTGTGCAACACTTGCTGATATTCAGGATCACCTGTTGATTTGGGAAGTGTTGCACAACTCAATGGGGACTTCACTTGAACAGGACAGCTACAGGCTGGGGGGTGGGGGGTGCGGTTCTATGGATATAGGACACTCTGAATAGTATGTTGTTGAATTGTATTCATGCCAAAGCTTGATGGAATGTTGTGCTTTCTTTCTCCAGTGCTCGTACAGGCGGAAGGGAAAAGGGAATGCTACTACAATCTAAATGATGCCCACTTCTGTGACAATGTCCTGACTTCCAACGTCACCAAGCAAGAATGTTGCTGCACCCTGGGAGCAGGCTGGGGTGATAACTGTGAAGTGTTCCCGTGTCCGATGTTTGGCACTCGTAAGTTTGTTCCTAGAGAAAGAGTTGGCTGTAATGTTTTCGCCTGCGGATTTGATGGGGATAGGAGTTAGATGCCAGAGCGTTAAACTTTGGAATGCTGCCCCCCCGCCCCACTGAGGGTTGTTTATATGTTTGACGAGACAAGTTGCTGTGGTCACTCTCAAAATGAAGTGGTGGCCTCTCTCTGTGATGAGTCCGTGGAGCTGAGTGTGTTTGGAGGGCAGGGTGCGATAACAAAGCCCGCACTTAGCACTGTTCACACTCCATTGACCTGACCCTGTGTTAGAATGAGTTTGTCTCATCGTATAAAATGAGGTTGGATCACTTGTTTGACTTAATATGGCATATTATTCCTAACGGGGGCTATCGGTCTGTCTGTCTCAGTTCTGCTTGTCTTGGCTGGCTCAACCATTGAAAAGAGACACAGTATGGCCTTTGTATCCTGGGAACTTGTGAGGCGACCCAGGAGTTTCAGGGACAGAGACTCCACCAGCTACTTTGCTGGTGAGCATCACTCTGTACACAGCGGTATTTTAGGTGGCTTCTTTCCTACAGTCAGAACATAAGAACATCAGAAATAGATGATCATGGCTGATCTTTTTATGGACACAGCTCCACTTACCCAATTGTTGTTACAGTGGGATTGAGTAAAGCCAGCATTGACCCAAGGCTCACTGATTCCCGAAAACTGTATTGCATAGAAATTACAAAAGCCCACAAATTGCTTGGGGAACATATTTTTATATGGCTCTGGGTGGGGTTTTACAACACAAGTTGACCCTCTAAATGCTACTTTGTTTTATCATTTTTCCCATGAAGCACATTGGGACATTTTGTTACATTAAAATTGCTAAATAAATATATGCTGTCGTAGGTTGTTTTTGCAAAGCCAATGTGTGGAGCATATAGTTTTGGAGAGCGACAAGGTTTGCATTGAGGAGGGTAAAGCGAAGTTTGTCAAATGTCTGAGCGAGCTATGATTGTGCTTCGAACTGCTTACCCTTCCAGTGCAGATCACAAACATCTCCTTCATCAGTTTTGATGAAGAGTCATACCAGACTTGAAACGTTAACTCTGTATCTCTCTCCACGTGTGCTCCCAGACCTGCTGCATTTTCCAACGTTCGCTCTTTTTATTTCTCCTTCATTTGGATATTTGGATTGCTTACATATACAAGAACGTTCTCTTCCATCAAACCCTCGGCTTTATTCTTATGTAACGTTTCTATTTCATTCCACAGCTGAATTTGCTGCCATGTGCCCTGAGGGTAAGGGCTTCATTCCTAACGGAGACTCGGCCTATGGAATCAGTGGACACAACTACAGAGGTCAGAATTGGGCCATTCATTTCAATAACACACTTTGCATGATGTCAAGAAGCCGACATGGTAGTGTTCCAGATGTAGTCAACGTTGTTTTCAGTTGGAAATGTGACAGAAACTGAAGTGTGGAATGGGGCCTGGGTAGGAATATTTGATTAGGCACTCTCAAGAAATTATGCTTTTCAAAGTGGTCCATGCCACACAGATAATCCCAATTTTAAATGCATCAGGTGCATGAGCAAAGAACATTCAGACAATCTAACTCCCCCCATGTGCCCTTTCACAGCTGCCGGTGGGTTGCAGGATTTCCCCTCCAGCTCCATGTTCTGATCCACTCCAATCACTGTCATCCTATTCTCTCAATGCCACAGAATCTTTTTCCCTGTTAATACCAGAATCTTACCCATCCTACCATTAACAACAGAATCTTACCCCACCATTAACAACAGAATCGTACCCCCCAATTAACAACAGAATCTTACCCCCCCATTAACAATAGAATCGTACCCCCGTTACAAGCAGAATCTTAACCCCCACATTAACAACAGAATTGTACCCCTGTTACAAACAGAATCTTACCCCCCACCATTGACAACAGAATCGTATCTCCAGACAAACAGAATCTTACCCCCCCATTAACAACAGAATCGTACCCCCATTACAAACAGAATCTTACCCCCCACATTAACAACAGAATTGTACCCCTGTTACAAACAGAATCTTACCCCCCACCATTGACAACAGAATCGTATCTCCAGACAAACAGAATCTTACCCCCCCATTAACAACAGAATCGTACCCCCATTACAAACAGAATCTTACCCCCCACATTAACAACAGAATTGTACCCC